GAGGTAACCCTAAAATCTTTTAAGGATTAGATACAAGCTCCCAAATACTTTTGACATTTTTGGCCTTTGGAAAGGAGTATGTTGCCTATAGTCCCAAGGACATTATGACTTTTAGCCAAGAAACTGGCTACAGTTCTTTGGGGTCTTTTTACCCTAACTGCCTAGCCTATTCTGACCTCCTATTCTTATCACACCACCCTCTGAAGGGGTTACACAAATTGCCAATAGGGAATAGAAATGCCGACCACTCTGGCTTCTTCTATGCTGAACAGGGACTCGGGGTGAGGCAACTGGAGTACTCCTTCAGTGAGTCTATCTAAAAGACTCCCAAATTGCATAACTCTTGTCTCTAAGGGAAGGAGAAAGTCCTTGAATCATGAATGGGAGATGTGAAGGAGAAGGAAAGGCAAGAGTAATTAGCATTACAAGTTCTAGACAGGGAACTAGAAAAAAGTCGGAACAGGGCAATTTTCAAATGTTAATCTGAAAGCCCATTGGAGTTTCTTGACAAGGGCTCCCTAAAGCATCCCTTTATTGGGTTCTTCCTTATTTTTCTCTTGTCTTCCAAGGCTAGACTAGTTGGCTGGGAAGAGTGGCTGGATACTCAGGTGAGGGTCCAGTGACCCTGCTTGGCACTCCTTTAATGAACTAACACAACTGTCAGCAAGCCCAATTGTGACTATGTTTAGCGATCAGGCTCAGCCAAAGTCATGATGTTGGTAGTTATTTCATGCAGAAGGGACTGCTGTATAGCATCTTCTAATTAAAAGGACCTGGAATTTAAAAGGATTTGGTGCTAGGAGCCGCATATGAGGGAGAACATATGTTGTTTGTTTTTCTGGGTCTGTGTGACTTCACTTAGTATTAACAGTTTCTAGATCCATCCATTTACCTGCAAATTTCATTATTTCATCTTTCTTTATTGCTGAATAGAACTCCATTGTGTAAATATACCACACTTTGGTTAACTACTTGTCAGTTGAGGGACAATTAGGTTGTATCCATCTCTTAGCTATTGTGAAAAGAGCAGCAACAAACGTGGTGGTACAAGTGTCTCTACAATAGGATGAGTCCTTTGGGTATATTTTTATTGATGCTTACATTTGAGAAGTGTCAATAAATGCTTAATGCTGCATATTCATTTCAATGCTTGAGCCATTTTATTAAGACCTTGGAACACCATGAAACTTTGGACTGTTTTTCATAAAGCAGTTTCAGCAACTTTTGAGTGAAAGAGGTTAAACTAAATGGTCTGTGAAACCCTGGGTCTTATCTTTTCTTTAAAATGAAGTGGAATTGGCCATTTCATAATCATGAATATTGCCTTCCAAGTGTTTTTAGTGAAAACATAGATGTTTCTTGCATGCTTATTTTTTAAGGACTGTTTCATCTTAGGAGACTAGCATCTGCTTCAGGATGACATTTTTTCCTCAAGCTCTAAAGTTATCAAACTGAGATGTAGCATTCAATGGCAGACCACTTGTGTAGTATGCACAAGATTGTAGTCCAGTCCAGACACCAAAAATATAAATGAAATAAGATAGCAAAAATGATCATGATTATAGTAAGTGATTAAATGATTTTGCTGTTATGAAAATGGAGCTGTTTCCTTTGATATTTTTAACCCAAAGAGGAAGAATATTATAATTTATAAAGCTGTATTGCTACTGTACACTTGACTTTTTACACAAATCACTTTTTACTTTTTATTTTTCTTCACTAATCATGATGAATCTATTCTTATGTGAATAGGTTCCTAGAATATGAAGTTTAAAATGATTTTCTTCTGTCTCAAAATCATCTTAATATGCATAATTTTACCTATGCATTTTACAATGTATCTTAATAGCTATATACAGATAAATTAGGATTTCTCATTTAGTCATCTTTCTTATTTTCTACATTATTCATATACACATTTTCCTACACAGTGTCATTTTTAGCTGGTTTACCAAGCAGTGCAATATTGTGTTTTCATTTAATCTTGGAAACTTAAGCTTATTTCAGTCATAATATATAAGAAAATAATGAGTTTCTGTCATTTTTACTTTTACTCACAATGTTACTCAGGTGTTTTTTTTTTTAACCTGGCTTTCATAAATCAAAAGATTGATAGATTTGCTTTAATTTCATCACTGTACCAGTATAATTTTTGTTCATAACTATCATTATTATTTTTACTTGGAATATCTCAGAAAGGTGTGTTATGTAACTGTCATTGTTGTAAAACCAAATTATTCCAAAGTATTTTATAACCTAAATGTGCCATGTATATTATCTCTTTTTCCTCTTGAGTTCACTTGCAATGTAAGAGTTACTTAAAATGCTTTGGTTATTTGTTGTGATCATTGAAACAATAAGAAGAAGCCTGCTCCTATGTGGGAGACAGGCTTGAGCCTAGGGTGAAAGTCTTATTGACAACCATACAGCAGGCCCGAGGAAACGGCCTGACCGCTGGAGCCACAAGGAACGCCTTGTGACATTTGCTCCTATTGGCAGATCATGAGACTGATGCCTAGAGCTCGCCACTCCCTAATCACCACCCTTGGAATCCAAAATTGCAACACTTAGATATTGCAACAGTCAGGGTCATGTGGTTTCCAGGAATCCAGGTTCTGTAATCTGAAACCCAGTATGCTAATGAGGCATCCTACCAGCTATTCTGTGATAGGACATTAAGTCTGTTTTGCTAATAGGACACTAAGTCTGTTAATGCTAATAAGGTATCTTACTTGATGTACTGTGATAGGATGCTAAACCTGTTATGCTAATAAGGTATCCTACTTGCTGTGCTGTGATTGGACCACTACCCCTACATAAGCTTGTACCTTCCTACAATAAACTAGACCTGTGTCACTGAACCTGGTCTCCTGTGTCTGAATGTGGCTCCTCTGACACAGTCTCCTCACCAGCCCTGTGGTCCGGGAGCAGGCAGAAGCGGCAAGGACAGGAGGCAACCCAGGGCAGGCAGAAGAGCTGCCTCAGCACTAGATGAACAGAAGAGCTGCCTCAGCACTGGGTGAGCAGAAGAGCAGCCTCAGCCCAGGGCGAGCAGAGGAGCAGCCTCAACGCCCATGAGAACAAAGGAGCGGCACCCACGAGAACAGAGGAGCGGCCGCCACTGGCGGTGACCACACTCCTAGATTTCTCTTGATCTGGCCGGTGATGTAGCTCAGTGGTAGAGTACCTGCTCTGCATGTGGAAGGCCCTGGGCACTGCAAACAAGCAAACAAACAAACAAAAACATAATCTTTTTTCCCTTAAGGAAATAATTCTGATTATTCTGATTGCATGAGGCTGAAAATTATATCCTTTTTTTAAGTAGTTGAAATGAGATTGTAATGGAACTTTTGTATCTAATTTTAAAGACAGATTGCTGATATGTCAGAGCTGCCTAACTTTGGCGAAGCTGTTACGAGCACTGTAAAAGCTGCAGTTTACTTCATTAATTGCAGTGTCTTTATATAACTAAAAATAAATTTTAGAAGAATATGTTTATTTTTATTTACACACTATTAGGATTATTACATTATTAAACTAGTTATTTAATTTCTAAATTTTCTGGATTGAACCTTTAAACTCCACAGTGTTTAGCTTGAAAGTTGTTTTCTGATCTCCCAGTTAGTAGTCACCTACATTTTGCTTCACCTTTGCTTATTAATTGTTCCCTTTGAAGACAGGTGGAGCTTTGGAGCAAAAGTAAGATTTCAGAATTTACCCATTTAAAATTTAATTTCTTCCTAATCTTTCTACCTTATTGGGTCATATTTCATAGATAGAAACTTTAAAAAATATTGAATCTTTCATTTGGTTGTACACATATCTTAAACACTGTGTTTCTCAGTGCTAAAATATGTATCCTAGCCCAGTGTGGTGGCACATGCCTTTATTCCCAGCACTTGGGAAGCAGAGGCAGGCATATCTCTGTGAGTTCACGGTCAGCCTGGTCTACATAGTGAGCTCCAGGCCAGATGGGGCTATAGGGAGATGCGGTCTCATAAAGACCAAATATACACACACACACACACACACACACACACACAATACATACACTCCCTGTTGGTATAATGACCATCTTTACATTCTTTTAATATTTTCTTTACTATTTTTAATTTTTGTGTATGAATGTATTGCCTGTATGCATGTAAGTGTGCCTGTCCTGCAGATCAGAATAAGGTGTCAGATCCCCTGGAACTGGAGTTATAGACTGTTGTTTGCCACCATGTGGATGCTGGGATTCAAACCCAGCTCTTCTGCAAGAGCAGTCAGTGCTCTTAACTGCTGAGCCATCTCTCCAGCCCCACATTCATCTTGAGTAAATGATTAATTTTATTTGGGTATTTTACTTCGTTCTACTATTAAAATTTTTCTGAAACCCTCATCTTCAGTTATTGGGTTTTAATTTTGCAGAGTAACTTGATTTCTTTTTAACACTAGCCAAATGTTCACAAAATCTTAGATACAAATAAAATTGACTTTTTCTCTGTTTTAGCTTCTTTTCTGTAATTCTGTTATGCCTTGTCATTCCCCATTACTTCATTTTTGTACCTTCTCAATGTTTAAGTGGTATTTCATTATAAAGTCTTTAACTTCTAGCAGTCATAAAATCAGAACCAAATATTACTTATTCCTTTAGTTAAGATGTGAGTATTTTAAATTTAGGAAAGCAATATACTAGTACCAATGATAGCCATTAACAGTCCAACAATTAAATAATAACCCAAACCATTAATATATGACATGTACTAAATTCTTGGTATGAAAGTTTTATGAAAATACAACTTAGTGCACTATTTTTTTATCAACTGCATTAATTAAATTTACCTTTTCCTTAATTTTATACACTTTTTCCTCAAACAATTTTTGGATATTTATTTACTTACTTTGTGTGTGTTATGGTACATTTAGGTCAGAGGACAGCTTGCATGAGTTAGTTCTTACCTTTCACCCTGTGGATTCCTGGGATCAAACTCATGTTGTCAGACTTGGTGGCAAGCACCTTTACTCGTTGAACCATCTCTCTGCCCTGCCAATAAATTTTGTCATTTAAGTTATACTTTTAAGACCCAAATCAGTTAGTACCTTGGATTCCTCTACTCCCCAAGTAGGATATTCTAACTCGTAAAAGAGTAATTCCTCTATATTTTCCTGCGTTGATACTCACCTAGCCCATGTATCTTCTGTTGAATACTTTTATTATATTTTTGTTGTTGTTATACCCAGAGACACAAGTTCTTTTTAGGGCTGAGCACTCTACATTCTCTTATTCTCTTCACGTTGATGGGTTGTGGTTGTGGATCTCTGTGTTAATTGCCATCTATTGCCAAAAGAAGCTTCTCTGATGACTGTTGAGAAATGCAGTAATCTGTGGGTATAATGATAAGTCATAAGGAAAGTGTTTAATATGTTTAGTACTATGTCTATTTAAAGGATAATAGTAATAGGTTTTCCCCTAGGCCTATGACCTCTCTAGCAACAGGTTCTTGACCTTGGTAATGGTGCCAAGTATGTTTACAGTCTTGTGGAGCAGGCCTTAAATTCAATTGTTAAATTCAATTGTCTTAAATTCAATTGTTAAATTCAATTGTCTTGGTTACTCCCATAATAATCGACCCTGCCAGGGGATGGATCCACACCCAAGAATATTTGGACAAAATAATTGGATTTGATGGGCTTTGAGAAAAAAGAGGGGACATGAAATTGCAGGGGGAGGGCAAGAAGGTGGTGAATTTGAGAGGAGATGTGTAGTGAATATGACATTGTGTGGTATTCTCAGAGAATTAATAAAAATACTGTTTTTTAAAAAAGCAAAAGAAGTTCTTTCAAAAGGAAATTATACATTATAATTCTGTATATTTCCCACAGTACTGAGAGCAATATTATTGTGCGGAAGTTAGATATAAAATAATCATTTGGAGACTAAATAATTGCCTGTTGTGGGCCACATTTTTAAATAATCTCTGTTGTATGACCTGGTCAATATTTATATCTATATTCAACAACACAACAACACAGTATAGGAAACTCAGGGTTCTCAGAGCCTGCAAAATAGACATATACTCCAGTGTGTGTTCCATGGATGACAGCACCAAAGCCATCACATAAGACCTTCTATCCTCAGATCCTTTTTACTCTTTATACATAGTCCTATAAATAGCAGGTTATTTAGAGTCTTAAATTAGTGTAAATGAGAAAGTGGCACAACCTTTTTTTTAATATTTATGTATATGTATTTGATGTATGTGCAGATAAAACACAACCCTGACTAATTTCAGCCTAAGTTACAAATGCAGTTTTCCCATGATATTAATATGTAATCCCAGAATGTTACACACCTGGGAGCAGTACAAAGCATAAACAGATTGTAGACCAATAAAAGTCATTTTAGAACAAGAAATTACAGAAAATATCACTTTGCATTTAAAAAACCAAAACATTTTAATGTTCAAAAGTAAATTTTTTTTTAAACCCAACTAACTACAAATCTAGGATCAAAGCACTTGATACCTGCCTGATGCTAATGTACCATTCCACAGACAGCAGGAGGCCTTTCATAGCTATTCTGGAAGAATAAATGGCATATGAACAAGAAAAAGAGAATTCAGAAAGCATGGCGGTGGATGGCTCTTTAGCATAGAGAGTCAACTGATGGTATAACTATATAATAATATTAATAATGAAGATCATGGGATCAAAAATGTTTGTATTTTATTGTTTACCCTTTAAAATGCAGGGAATATATGGTATATTAAGAAATTTTTAATACAAGTTTATATGTGTATTTTAATGTTTAGCATTTAAACTTTCAAGTATTGCTTATTAACAGATTCATTTTGATACATTCCCTAATCATGCTACATAAATAAATCCATGTAGGTATAAACTGTGAAGCCTGCTGACATACTCCTCCTTGGCAGCGCTGTGGTGTTCAGTGCCTCCTTGTCTTTATCCACAACCATTCTTTAGCCTAGATCATTGTTACTATTACTTACTGTTACTGCCTATTACACCAAAAGTCATTATCCTTTTCTGTCTTGCCTTTTTTTTTTTTGGAAAGGTTTTAATTAAGAGAATTCAAAACACACATGGTGGCGCTCTCCTTTAGTCCCAGCACTTGGGAGGCAGAAACAGGCAGATCTCTGTGAGTTTGAGGCCAGCCTGGTCTACATAGTTCCAGGTAGCTGGGGTACAGGGAGATCCTATCTCAAAAAGACCAAAAAAATTTTTTTATTAAATTTTTGTGTATTTCGTGCAGAACATCTTAATTTTTATACTCTTTATCCACAGTGCAAGACCCTTGGAGGCGGACTGTCTTGCTTCCTCTGTGTACTTATATTGCCTCGCCCACAGTAAGAGCACAGGGAGTTTTGTATTATTATCCTGGATTGCTATGTCCACTTAAGTACATAATTCTCTCTGTGCATACGCAGAGAGAATTTCATGTCATGCTAACATTGTTTTTTCCAGATTGAACAGATTTACTAATGAGTTGCTTGGTTAGGTCATTTCTTTTTTTATTACCTACAAATATGTTTCACTATTTGCCGTTTTTTTTCCCTCTAGATGGATTAATTGCCTCTGAAGGAGCAATAAGTCCAGATTTCTTCAATGATTATCACCTTCAAAATGGAGAGGTAGTTGGGCAGCATTCATTTCCTGGAAGGTAAACTGTTTTCCAAGAAAGAACCAATATATGGTGTTTCCTTTATTCTGAAAATCCATAATTGTCTTTACTCTTCTTTTTACCTCCTTTTTGTCACTGAGAGTAAAAACCTTTCATCTCTCCAAGAAAATGTTTGATTTTTAGTTAATTTGCAGAAAATATGCTTTAACTGCTTTGGAAAATATATTGTCTTTTGAAATAGACAATACTTTGTCAAATTAATTAATAAGTTGCTTCTAGTGTTTTTCAAAGAAAATGAAATATAAAATGAGAACACAAGGGTATTTAACAGCTATTCCAATGCCATTATTGGGAAGTTGATGTTTTATTTAATTGAAGACTTTTATAACCATAGAATTGGCATTCAAGTGAAGTTCTTAAGAAAAACAATATCTGGTAGGCCAGGATGGTTTACACTTGTGAGTTCACTATACCAGACATTCGACTTTATTACTAGTGGTTCACAGATTTTCCTAAATGTTTCCCCAAAGTAACATTTCCCTCTTTATACCATTCCTGCAGGAGTACTGTTTTAATTCAGGCTTTACTGTTGAAATTTCATGATAAGATATCAACTAGATGGGTATAATCTTATTTTCCCTTAAAAGCATAGTTTATTTTCTATTTCTAAAAATCTTGTTCTTCATTAATATAAAACTATTTTCTATTTAAGTAATGTATTCGTGTAACTTTTCATGACCAGTGTGTTATAATTCTTAATTGAAATAAGCTTTTTTAATACAATTGTAATTATGGTAGTCCATGTAACTATTATTGATCACTGACTGTCTATAATCTGTTTTACAAATATTTATGTTTTTAATTTTAACCTGCACACCAATATTTTAAAACAAGAATTATGACCATTTTACAGATAAAGAAATCACAACTCTAAAAACTGAAATTTAATCAGTAAGCCACAAGTATTATAATAAGCTATCTTTAAAATCAGGCCTGTAAATCCCAAAGTTTATATTCTTTATAGAATAGCATGTTCCTAATTTGGAGGAAACAAAACATACAATAGTTGTATTTGTTTCTTTAACCAAAATCTGCATTAAAGGAAATACCCTGAATAGGACACCCATATCAAACTCTGCCACCCAGGGCTTGGGGACCACTGTGGAAGAGGAGGTGGAAAGATTGTAAGAGCTAGAGGTTGTGGATGACCACAAGGAAACAAGAATTTTCCAGAAAGCTGGTCATATGAACTTACAACAGTGATGACAGCATGCACAAGACCCATAAGCTCAAACCAGACAGAATACCAGCATAGAAGTGAGGAAGTGGGAAGAAGCCCCAACTTTATCTGAGGAGCTATTGACAATGAATAACTACTAGGAAAAGAAGAGTCCATTTCTTTTAAGGGTGTGATGCTGGATAGGTTACCCAGGCTCCAGTGGAGGGACACGCACCAAAGGACATTTGGGGACACAAACTTGACTCAGTAGGCCTTAATATATATGACAGAATATATGAAATCCAGTGGGGGCGGGCTTTAAGAGGCATGCAGAAAGGGAAGGGATCTAAATATGATCAAAATATAGTGTATGAAATTTTAAAAATTCAACTGAAATATTGCAAAAATAAAAATAATTAATTCTAAAAAAATACCTTTCATGATGTGCTATAATATGTGTGGATATACATAATAATCTGTATAAATAATTTGAAAGCAAAACTTTCTTTAAATTAATCTTACTCTTACTACCTATAATGGAGAGTGATCTATTACCTTATCCTAGTTCACTTGTTAAATGTGGCTCTCAACCTACTGAGTTGATTTTACAGCTCACTAAAGATCATAACTCAAAGTTTCAAAGCATAGTGGAAAACTTTAGTAGCACAACATGAAGTACACAGTGCCATGTTCTGTAGTGGGCTCTCAGTGTGCTGGATTGTCATGTGAAGAAGTCCCTTGCCTCAAGAAATTAGAGCTCACAATAGCCAAATACTAAAAAAATTCAGATTTATATTATTTCTGATGCTTCTGGTTATATTAGTTTTAAACAGTTAAATATAATCTGTTTATTATAAATACTATATCACTTGACAACTCACTGTACAATGTTTCTGAAACAACTGAAAATGAATGAAATGATTTGTACATATGATCTTAATATTTATAGCAAAAGATTTTTGCTTATAGCATTTATAAGCTTAATTGTTCTCCCATTATAATTATTTGTTATTTCATTATATTTCACTGTGAACAAAACTTTATTGGTTTATTACTCTACAGTTAATGCCAATCGAAATAAAGTAGCCTGCTACTTATTATGCATTACTTATTTAAATAAGACATTTGCATTTTATGTATGTGAATTTAAATAAACACTTTGATTAGAATTGAATATATAGCCAGGTATGTGGCACAGTCCTATCAACTCAGCTCTTGGGAGGCTAAGGTAGAAAGGAAGATCACATGTTCAAGATCATAGTGAGACCTGTCTCAAAAAGTTCTAATATAAAAATAATTAAATATATAGATTAATAAACCTTAAACCAAATTCAGCAAAGTACTATCATTTCTGTTTTTTTAATGGTAGTTTTATAAAACAATAATTTTATATTTAGAGATAAAGTTAAATATTTAGACAAAAATTCAGTATTTTGCCTTTCATTTCTGTTCATTTTTAAAATTTTATTTATTTATTTAATTTTATGTGTAGGAGTGTTTCTGCCTGCATGTATCTAAGTGCATCCATGCATACAGTGCCTATGGAAGCCAGAAGATGACATTGGATCTCCTTGAACTGGATTTAGGGATAGTTGTGTTAGCACTGTGTAGACACTGGGAACCAAACCAGGACCTTTACAAAAGCAACCAGTGCTCTTAACCACTGAGCTATCTTTCCAGCACTGACAGTTTTTAAATGACTTTGGGAAAATCCTTTTAGAACCTTCTTAATTGAATATTGCTGTGATATATCTTACAGAGTGAAGAAGCTCCTTAAATATTTTAACCTTTCAAAAGAAACGGAAAGTTTCTTTAAAATCAGAAGAATAATATATTTATTATAATTATCTTGATTTGAGAATTATTTGTCCTTTAAAAAAGAACCTCTCCTGAGAAAATTAAGCTTTCATCTCTTGTCTTTTTAATTTTTCAGACCTTAAATCATATAACATTATTATGGTTTCATTTTTATTTCCAGAAGAAATTATTTATATGGACATGCCCGGTATTTGTAGCTAATAAATCAGGTGAGAATAGTTTGCTAGATTGTTGACTGAGGTACAGTCCAGATATCCAAGGATCCCTAATGGGTCTATTCCATTCTGTCGGATTGACTTTTGGAATCATTTTTTAAATTTATTCAAACATTTTTAGCTATCTAGGATTATCTTCTTTTTAAATAATATTGTTTTCCTTCTTTAAGGATTCATACATTTATCCAGTATATTTTGGTCCCGTACACCCCACCTTCCCTTTAGGAATCCCAGCTAGGATGGATTCTCTCTAATAGAGCTGCATGACCCTTTTCTACTAGTAAACCGTGGGCCTTCAGTTAGGTGTAGTTTCTTAACTCTGAAAATATTTAAATATATTAAATTGCTATATAATTATTCACAAATTTATATTATGATTTTGCTGCATAAGGCCCCAGATCTGAAATTTTAAACTAAATGGCTTTCAGTTTCTGGTATCCAGTGGATAAATTTAAAGTTCATTAAAAAACATCACTTCTAATTTTGAAATTTTCCATTTTAATTGATTTGGGGGCAGTGGCTGCAGACAGGGTCTCCCTGTAGCCCCAGTTGACCTGGAACTCACCATGTAGACCAGGCTGGCCTCAATATCACAGAGGTCTACCTGCCTCTGCCTCCAGAGTACTGAGATTAAAGGCGTGCACCACCATGCCTGGCTTTAATTGATTTTAAATCCTATAGGAATATGTTTTAATAAATGTTACCTTCTTTAATGTGAAATTGTTGTATTTGGGGGCTGGAGATATGGCTCAGTGATTAAGAGCACTGGCTGCTCTCACAGAAGACCCAGGTTTGATTCTCAGCACCCATATGGCAGCCAACATAAATCCAGTTCCAAGGGATTGGACACCCCCTCTGAGTTCCACAGGCATTGCATGACACAGATGCACCTACCTACATATAAGCAATATACTCATACACATAAATAAAAATAATCTTTTAATTGTCGTATTCTTATTCTCATCTATCCTGTGAAGAGAGTAAATTGACCTAACTGAAAATATGTTGAACCTCGACTGTGACAGAATATTGTCCTAAGTGGGTTTTAAACACTGAAGAACTTGATTCTCAAAATACCTTTAAAAAGGGAAAGTTATCTACTTGGAGCCCCTTCCCTTAAGTCAGGGAAATGTCCAGGTGACATACAAATTCTTTCCCCTGATTATTTATCATGTTTTTGATAAGCAAACACAGCAAAGTTATCTGGGGAAAGAGTAATAAAAGATCAGTGTATAAAAGGTGAACTTTTAACATTACCACTGTTTTTAATGATGTGACTGGCAGGAATATGTGGCATAGCACAAGAAAGACTATGACAGTGCAAGTGGCAAGTGCCCCAGCCAGTTCCCATGGCTTTTGTGTCTTTGTTTTGTTTTTGGTTTTGTTTTTAGTTGACGCCTGTAAAGTAGTTGATCCCAAGTACCTGCTAAGTAAAAAGTAAATTGCTAATTTGTATGGCATGCGGTCGATTGCTTTAATTGTTCAAAGAAAGATTTTTCTTTTTTTACTCAAATGATGGTTAGTAAGTAAAAGACAAAAATATTAAAATTTGAGAAACTAAGCCAGATCGAAAGAAGTGTTTAAACAGATCATACTGGTGTTTTCCCTCAAATCGAAGTCAAAGGTCCTTCGTAGTCTGAATGGCTGCGATTTTGTAATATAGTGAGGCAGTTTAATTGGAAACAGTGAAAACTGTTAAACTCATCTATCTCGGTTCTACAAGAGAGACTGGATGTTTGATAAAATAGATACTGGCAGCTGGACAGCGAATCCTGGGCTTTAGACATGTCGCTGTTGATTTGAACCTCTTGGCGCCAGGATTTCCCGACATTTAGAGCTAATGCAAAATGCATTAGGGCTCCAAAGCATTAGCTATGGAGTTGCCAATCACAGTGTCAAATGTAAATCTTCTCCTCCACAAATCTGAATTGGTGTTAGGGAGTAAAGTGGAACTTTGTATGGAAGCTAATTAAAAATAATAGGAGCAAGACGAGTTTTTTCCCTGTTATGTACCATGTATTCATGCCACATTTTTTGGACCTTTTTTTTATTATAACTCTTACTTTTCAAGACTAACAAGAACCTCATGTTAAGAGTATTCTTAAACTGCTTCCAGCTTTTACAAATCAGTTTTTGTTGCAGTAAAAATGGCCCATTTTCCTTTTATAGGAATCCAATTTTCATAAACTGGAAAAAACTGCAGAGCCTGCTTAGGTTTCCTTGAGGCTTTGAAAAATATTTTTCAGAGAGCCTGGCATTCTTCGTGGTTGGCACAGTGATGTCATTCACTGACCATTTCACTGAGGTCAGAGATGAACTAGATATGTGCATGATCTGAGTTCTCCAGGTCTATCATTTTCTGTGTGAATTACAGCCTGACTCTTTTTCTTTTCTTTTTTAGACTATTTCACTATTAGTTATTTTCTTCATTAAATATAGCCTCTTGTTTTGTGAATTAATAAATCACAATTGAAATGTTAGTTTCAAGATCCTAATGAATACAGCTAACATATTATTCCTCTGAACAAAAGAAATAAAATTCATGCTAATTTTTTGCATTTTTCTATTTATTGAGTGGAGGGCCTATGTCATGGCATGTATGTGGAGGTCAGGAGACAACTTGCATGAGTTGGTTTTTCTCCTTCTACCATAGGTTCCAAGGATAAAACTCAGGTTGCCAGGCTTGGCAGCAAGTACTGCTACCATACACCTCTCTCTCTCCAGTCCCTAAATTTTTCACGTATTATTTTTCGTAAGACTGGGATGCTACATGTAAAACTTAGATTTACTTCTTTCACTTTAAGGCTATCTTTGTTATTCTCAATTATGTAGTTTGAAAGACAGGACATTATTAAATAATGAAGAATCTTATAAAAAAACCTTTTTCGATACCTTGTATATTCAAGGCACTGCTAAACTCTGTTCTTTACAAGGACCTTTGTCTAGGTCTCCAGTATTCATTCTTAACTGAATTTTGGTTGGGATGTTTCCAAGAACTGCTTCTCAGATTAAACAGAATTTTTTAAGCTTGATTACAACAAATATAGTAGATCTCTTTATGCAGCAGGGTTAACTAAGAGGACAATATCCTGTTTACTTTAAAAAGTGCACAGTTTTAGACAGGGTGTATGTTTCTATCTGAAAATGTCCAGATCGATGCAAACTTTTATGATCTAAATTATAAATAGATGTTTAGTTATCCAAACTATTCTCAAGCCCAGTAATAAATGCTGTCCAGGCTCAACCAAGAGAAATAATTTAGATCTCTTCCTGCTTGAATGATTATTAATGAAGTAGAAATATATGGTAAATTTTCTTAAAATTAATAAAACTATTCATAAGAGAAAATACTATATGACAAGGGATATCATGCCTAAGATAGAGAATTGATCATTTTAAATTTGTGGGATGGTAAAAATACCAAAGCATGAATGCCAGTAACTACATGACAACAGAGTTGTGATAAAATCAAACATATATTATGAGGCTCATGATATAAAATAATTCTTATTTGAAATTTTATTTTTCTTTCAGAATATGGCAAGTTTTTTTTAAAAAGATAGACTGTCTAGGACCCTTTTAATTTTTCAAGGAATACAGTGTTTAAGCCTTTTAAAAATATAAGTACAAAAAGACTAATAATTTAGATCTTTCTAGCATTCATCACATTTAATATAAAATAAATTTGTGAGTTGAACTCAGAGAAGGGTGGCACCATCTCTATTTTAGTAAAATGGAACTCAAGGGTCAGAAATTATAAAGGAACTTTAAACCCAAGTAACTAGTAAATAGTGATGCCTTTAACCTTTGTGAGAGTCAGTGCTCTGTTTTACTGCATCTAGATGACAAGGACATATATTAATCTATCCATGAACTGTGTTTGAGGAAGTTTAGAGTAAATGTTATTACAATTCAAAGTGAGAGATGTAGCTTTGGTTCTGCAACATGACAAATCTTAAACCTATTCTGCTTTAGACCTATTCTGCTTTAATACACTGGACGTTCTATCTTGCAAATGTGTATTTCAAATATGCTTGAAGGCAAGCTGCTGAAAGTTTATTAACACATTAAGCAATTAGTTCATTACCTTTAAATTCTCTCCAAGGATTAAATCCAGTTGTATCCAAATGAGAATGAAATGAGTGAGTTTATCTTAGTGCGGAAGGATGAATGCCTTGTGTAAACCATTTATTCAGCTCATTAGCCAATGCAATTTTGTCTGAGTGATGCTTCTGTTTCATGCCTGTTAAATCAATCCTCACGAGCTTGCTGATGTTTCAATCTTATCTTACTTGTTTAGAGTTTTTGTAGAGACAACAACTTTAGAGTTGGAAATGCAGGGGACTCAGTTCCACTGCTTGCACACTAATGACTTGCATTTCCCAAGGAAAATTGAATTATATTTTATTAGTAAATTGGGCCTATAACCTTTAAGGCCAGATTTTATTAGATTATCACACATCAGCATTAGAAAACTGTAAACCTTACTGTAACATAGAAATATAAGCCACAAATAAAGACTTAGAGTCCTGGAAATTTGGGAAGAGGATATTTTCTCCTAGAGAAATTCTAATTCTGAAATTCTGACTTGGAAATGTATTTTCAATTATTTACTTTCCTTGACAAAATTAGAAGCAAGGCAACTGGCAGTAGCACTGCCCTCATTAATTTAATGCTGTTTTCTATCTGGTGATTAGAGCAGTTTTTAGAGACATCCACATCAGCTGTGATTAAAGCCCAAAATTTCCTCAAAGAAAACCAAACTTATTGTCACTTTATTAGGACTTTCATTTAGGAGAAGAAATTCAGTATAACTGAATCTATATATAAAATACTATGACTGAATCCTATAGAAATGTTAACACGTTGACTGTGCGTAGCCCATACTTGTGCTAGAAGAAATGAATGACAAGGGGGTTAGCACATGCAGGACTGGGAAATGAAACCTACCACCATCACCTAAAAGTGATTATTGAGTACTAAACTTCATATATTTTTTGCATGCATTAAGTGCACTTTTGTTAGCTCTACATATAAAAAAAATTTAAGAGTACATTTAGTCAGGTGTGTCAGTCCAGCACTCTGGAAGCTGAGGCAGGAGACTCTTAAGTCAGGCCAGCCTGATTAATGGTGAGACCCTGTTTCAAAAACTAAAACAAAAAAAATGCTTACTTTAGGGGGCTGGAGAGATGGCTCAGTGGTTAAGAACGCTGATTGTTCTTGCAGAAGATCCAGGTTTGAATCCCAGCACCCACATGGCAGCTGGCAGCTGTCCATAACTCCAGTTCCAGAGGATCCAACAGCCTCTTCTGTCTTCTGCGGGCATTGCATGACACAGGTGCACTTACCTACACGCAGGCAATACATGCATACACATAAAATAAAAATAATAAATAAAATATTTTTTAAAATTGCTTACTTTAAATATAAATGTAGAGAAAATCCAAAGTCTAAGCAAATATGAATACACTTACACTATGTTTGGCTGAGGTAATGCTCTCATTTAAAAAATATGAGCTTTTAACATAATGCAAATTATCTTTTTAAATGCTTATTTATTAATATTCTAAATAGAATAGCAATAGAATAGTTGCTTATGCAACTGGTTAATAAGCACTACCACCTGTTCAAAGAAATAAGACAAATAGGGAAGTTCATTTGCTTTACATCTGGAATAAATGATTCTAAGCTTACTCCTTAACTCAGGAATAGTTTGTAATTCAAGGTAGAGTTATTCTAGCCTGATCTGTTGTTTTGATGTGACCTATTATGAACCATTGTCAAGTATTTTTATATTTAAAACACTAAACAGGGTATTTTTTTCTTTCAAAGAGCAGCTGAAACTCAGACTGTGGGCTTTTAAAGTGTTATAGTAATGAACTGCCTTATTTTGCATAGTGCTCATAATCATTCCAGATGTGCAGTGCAAATAGCCTCCTAATCAGTTATGAACCATATGGGCTACATACATTGATTTGCATTTTTTTGAGTAATAATTGCAGGTAATTATAAAACGTAAATTCATATTGCCAAGTAAGTCTAAGAGTAAAATATTAAGCTGTAGTTAATGAGAAGGAATGTACAAATAAAGACCTACTTGCTTTAATGAGCTTAATGGTTACCTTCTCAGTTTCAACTAAAAGTTTTTGTTGTTGTTGTGTTGGGGTGGGAGAACTAGTCTATAAAATTTCTTATAGAAGTATCTAAGACAAAAACAAGGAAATAAAATGTTCTAAACCCAACCAGTCCAAACCACTTGAGCTGCTATGATAGCTCGTAAAACTGAGAGTAGTTTTTAACTGGGCTCTGTTTTACATTGCCAAAGTGAATTTTCCTTGCAGGAAGTAGCCAGAGGGTTTATTTAGTTTCCAGTCCATGGCTTTGATCTTTCTGTACTGTCACATCTCAGGTTACATAGCCCTTTTTCACTGCAGTAAATCTGCAACACTTAATGAGAATAAAATTTCCTCCTTCTTACTGATCACATGCCGTTAAATGCCAAACCACAGCCAACTGCATATTTGCAAAATTTCAGCTAGGATGTATAAAAACAGTGCAATCAATTTAATCTTGTTGTCTCTGTAATTCTTTTTATTGGTCTTTCTTCCTTTTTAAGTGACCTACTTTATCAAGTCAAGTGATTGCAAAGCCAAAACTGGAAGAAAATTTTAGGAAGTTAATAATACTGAGGAGGTATTGGGGTGGGGCAGGGAGGTGGACGGACTTGCTACCATTAAGATTACAATTAGGTCCACTTTAATGCCTTTAAAAGACCAAAGCCTTTCTGTCTCCTCCTTGGTTGTGCTGTATGTTTAGTTTCGGCATAAATTTGTAGCTAATTAATTTAATGAGTATGAACACTATTTTTCACTTTGGTTATCGAAAACCTTTGTATCGCAGAGAATTCAATCAAGTCTTGCAGAAAACTTGATTTTGACGTTATAAGTGCTATTCAAAAAGAACTTAATAACACTATTAAATACCCATTCAACCATTTTATCAAGTGAATCATTCACACAGAATATTGTAAATAGTCTAAATCAATTGAACTTCAAAATCACTTTAACTGAATTTTATTTATTAATGTATGCATCTCCATAATGAAATAATCATTTTTTTTATGATAAACCCTCTTAGTATATATACATTAAATTTATTTTCCACTTTTCTTTTATATTTTCTATTGCCTTGTTTGTAGTTGGCATTTGGCATTTAGCAAATTCCTGTGTCAGACAATTCACCCTTAGAAGGCAATTTTGAGTGATAGCCAAAATAAATGCATTTTATTGTATGTTCATATGGGTCATATATACATAATATTAAATAAATTTTATAAAATCAGTTTTGTCATTTCTCACCATTAAAGTCACAGTTAGTGTTATAGTAATCTGATTCTGTAGAATAAATCATTCCTCATGAAAATCACAGTATTGGAGTGAATCAGTAGTGTATAATACCCATTCACTGATAATCATAAAAGCAAGCTTAAAAGCAGATTGAGAACTCAGGAGAGTATTTCTAATTTGGAGACCATAAAATCAGATCTCTTAATAAAACAGAGGATCCACTTATGGTGAAATGCTAATTGTTAGTTATCCCATTAAGAAAGGAAAATATTGGGCCAGTGAGGTCCTCAGTGCATAAAGGCACTTGCCACAAAGTCTGATGGCCTGAGTCTGTTCCCTGGAACCCACATGGTGAAAGGAAAGAAGCAACTCCCATAAATGTCTTCTGTCTTCCATATGCATGCAGTGGCATGTGCAAGCCACACACACACACACACACACACACACACACAATTTTTTTAATGTTATGTATTTATCTTTATTTTATGTGTATGTGTGTTGCCTGTATATATCCAAGTGCACCCATGCATGCAGTGCCTGTAGAGGACAGAAGAGAGTTTCAGATCCCCTGAAACTGGCATTATGGATTGTTGTTAACCACCATGTGGGTGCTGGGAATGGAGCCCATGTCCTCTGGAAGAGCAGCCAGTGTTCTTAACCACTGAACCATCTCTCCAGCCCCTAAATAACTTTTTAACACAATTAATTTTTTAAACTTAAATGATAATGAAAGAAGAGTAGATTAAAATCTTTAAGAAATGAGGGCAGAACTTACTGTGCTTGATCTTTCAAGAAGGTACTAAGTAAATTTAGAAATGTTATAGCTTAAAATCTCAGCCTGTGGAGCTGGAGAGATGACTCAGTGGTTAAGAGCACTGGCTGCTTTTGCAGCGGACCCATGTTCGATTTCTAGCACCCACATGGCAGCTAAAAGCCAGCTGTAACTCCAGTTCCTGGGGATCCAACACCCTCTTCTGGTCTCTGTGGGCATTGCACGACACAAGTGCACTTACACACATGCAGGCAATACACTCATACATTAAAAAAATAATAATAAAACATTTTTTAGACTACAACTTATGCTCTAGAATATTGTTTTCAAGTAGGCCTAAGGTCTTAAAATGTATCTAGAACAAGCCTGTTCTAGAATTTTGTTGTCTTTCTCTAACTTTAAATCCACCCCAAATTCTGGTCTTGAAAGTCCACAGAACATTTCTACACAAAGTAAACTTTTTTTTTACATGTTTTTCGTGATTCTTTTAAAAATAAAAAATAAGTATTAAACAAGTGAAATTTCTCAAAAGCATTTACATTTGTGGACCTTGAAGAGTCCGATGCAGGTTTAAATGAAATTGCTGGAAGGGCATGAGATACATCTGACATCAGCACCCGGCAGACTGAATCTGCTGTGTTGTTTGAGAGGTTATTCCCTTAGTGCTTTCAAATCTGTCTTTAATCTGAGAGATTCATTAATGATTAGCACTTGCCAACGTACAATTAGTGACTACTGATGAGTTTGTTATTTCCTGTTGAGTACTACTCTTATTAATTTAATGTTCACAACTGAAAGCTGACATTCTGTTAAGAAACAGAAACCAAATAAAGGAGTTTACCCAAGACTGTCCTATCACCCAATCGAGAAACCTGTATCTTTATCCTCCTTTCTTTCTTCCCTTATGTTACAATGATGATGAGTCCTTTATTCAAAATCTAATAGGTCCAAACAGTTATGTGTTCCTCTGGACCCTGTCCATCTTTCCTCCTCAAAGACTTTTCATGTCACTACTCTCTTCCCTTCTACTGGGTCATTCCTGGCAGTGTATAAACCCTATTGGCCTCACATCACATTCCAACTACTGCCCATTTCTTACTTCACATACAAAACTTCTCAGAAACTTCAATTCGCTCTTGAACTTCTCCATTCTTGTCAAAATCACAAGAAGTTTTTGTATTAACAAACACAGTGGACCCTTATTCTCAGCTGCATTTAGCACAGTTGTCCAATCCCTGCTTTTCAAAGCTCCTTTCAACACAAAGTGCACCATGTTTCTGATTTTTCTGCTAAGCCCTTTGCCATCCCTTCCCAGTGTTGTTTGGTAGACTGTTCCTTCTCTTTCCCACCTTTAAGTGATGGTTGCTCCATGCTTCAAAATTCTTCTCTGGCCATACACTTCTTTGAGAGAGTATCTTTTGTATTTCCACCACTTACAGGACTTTAATCAGATCCTGACCTTAAATAATATCTATTGATTTAGCCAAGAGTTCTTTGAGCACCATCATTTTCTTTCTTCCTATTTGATGTAGCAAATTGAATGTTTAATAGGGTGATGAAACTGTTCTTTTTCCATGTATAAACAGCTTCGAATCTTAATAAATGTCACCACAATCCACCAAGTAGTCAAGTCATTAACTTTAGAGTCTTTCTTGACTCTTCCTTTTCCTCCCCATTGCCCTCTCCACTGGTCAGTCCATCTGCCAATCCTGCTGTTTCCATTTCTGATCTATGTCTCATATTTGCTCCTTTCCATTTCCACAGTTGGCACCCTAGTCTAAGCCACCACTGCCACCATCACTGAACTACTCAGTAGCCTCCTAATTAATTTGCCTGATTCTAAAGCTGCCGTACCTCATGTTCCTTTTGTTGTTTAAGTGTAGTCAGGTCATGCCACTCTTGCTCCTATAATGAAATGCAAGATGTCTCACATTCTGTAAACACTGCATTATCTGTCACTTCATCTGTCTCTTCAGCCTAATCTATACACGTCCCAGTTGCTAAATGTACCCACTCTGGACCTCTTTTTCTTCCTCACTTAAAAAGTCTTTTCCACCTGTCACCTTTGTGCTTAACTTGAAGAGGCTTTTATCTTTCAAGTCTCAACTCAAATATTTTTCCCTCACAAAAGAATCTCCTTTTCTCCCAACTAGTCTACCTGGTTATTTACCAGTTAATCTCCCTCTTCCCCTAAGAATACAGTTTCTTGAAGGGCAACCACTTTGATAAT